CAATATCTCTTAATTTCCATCATTACTTCCAATGAAATACGGGCTGTTGAGGTGTGTATGATCAAGATTTTTGAAATCAGGTGCATTTTTAGGATTGGTTCTTGGATTTTGATTTGCACCGGCGTTTGAGGAATCAATTTAGATTTCAACGTTTTGTGTTTGAACATTTTGCTCAACCATTTTTCAAGTCTCTGATACCATATAACAAAGTAAAAATGAATTAAATATGGAATGAAGGTAGCAATAAGCTGGAAACAAAAATCCTTTTGATTAGAATTTTGTAATTGAATTGAATGAATCAACAGCTGATTTAAACACTTTGCAAAACTAGTACTATCATACAAAATCGGTAACGGAAGGAATAATACCAAAGAATCTAATATTGTTACAAATAATAAACTTTCCATGTGGCGAAGCCTTCTAGATCATTCCTTAAATGCTAGACCACAAATGACACCATGCTTGGTTGACTGTAATGCCATCTCATCTGTCATCTCGTCTGCCACATGATTAACTTCATCAACATGTTTCAACATAGAGTACCGAAGTGGATTTGAATCACTTTTTTTTTCTTTTTACTTGCAATTTTATTTAACAATTATTTCTTCAATTAGGAAAACGAAAGAAAATAAATAATAATTCGGACATTCTTTTAGCCCATTTGAAAGGATCTCGTCTCATAATTATCATTGTGAAGTACGAAAAATTAAAACTTTTTTCTGACTTACTGAAAGTCCACGCCTGACATAAATGACTACACTTGGATTTGGAGGACTATTGTTACGAGTCATAATATAGAAGCGACAAGTGGCACCATATTTTAGTGGTGGGACCAGTTTACTTAGGCCAGGATATGTTCTCTTAGCCTCCGACGTGGATTCTGAGGCCTTGGCTATTGTTCTGAGGCCCTCAAGACAGTTCCTATGCCTTCACTACCATCCCAGGCCCAAGCCTCGCGTGGAAGAAGACCACATGGAAAGATATTGCAATGATGAAAGATCCGTGTGAATGATTGACGTGACTTTTGTATAAAGTAAACTCTGTCTTGTCTTGTCAATGTAAGAACATTTAATGCTTTGTAAGGCTAAGAGAGTCAACTTGGTGCTTAGGATTTGATGTCTTGGTCGAGGAGATGAGGCCACATGTAAATTGATCCAAAGGTCATTATTCGACTTGTAACACTATAAATACCCCAACATGTAACACAAAAAGGGTATAAAGAATACTGAATACTTAGAGCAACGTTTCTCTCGTTTCAACAGTGATTCTTACATCATATTTTCTACTACAAATCGTTCTTCATCGATTGGTTTCTTATACAATCATATCACACTTCTTGCCAGAAGCCTGAACGGAAACGTCTCGTGCCTTTGAGCCACTCCCACGCCCATTTTCTGGAGCCATCTTGACCGTTGATCGACATTAGCGTGTCGGATCAAGCTTGCATGTGCACGAGTGGGCCCGACATCTGTTGGTAACATTTTTTGGGGTCAACGGATTGGCGCCATCTGTGGGAATTCACACAATAACCACGAGCAACAAGTGGAGAAAGCTGTCTGAAAATATTTTGGGCATCCCCCTTTGAAAGAGGATTTGTTCTTGAAAAAGAATAAGAGGAAACTCCCAAAGTTGAAAATATTCACAGTTCCAAATTTCAAAAGGTATGAGTTCAGGAGAAGAAGCTCCTCCTAGGCGAACAAGGGAAGCTGATAATGAGGCCTCAGTGCTCCGACGCCGACCCCACCACCACTATAGGCGAGGTGGTAGGAGGTTGGCGGCCTAACTTACTAGAGAAATGGCAACCATGGCAGCCAATATGAGGAGCATCACCAACCAGAACTTGGCAATGCAAGAGTTGCTAAGGCAGATGCAAGGCCAAGGAGGTTCCCCACCCCCCTCTTTCATTCCTCAAGAGCCGTATCAACTTGAAGAAGTCCAAAGTCAAAGAGCTTATTCCCCCGGGCATCATAGGGGAGGAAGCCCAATGGAAAGGGAAGTGGGAGTTGATATTTCCTCCAATTATGCTTCTGACCGACCCACCGAGGCCCCGTTTGATATGGAGGATAATTTCCCTTCTAAATATGAGCCAGGACCAAGGCCCCAGAGGTCCGCCAGTGTGTTCGACAGACTTAGACCAGCGGATCCGAGGCGCAGACAAAGGAGCGAAGCTCCAGCGCCCAGGAATAGGCCATAGCCCCCACCTACTAGGCAACCAGAGGAAAGGCAAGAAAATGCCCCCCGTGTTGTACCACCTCGCCATGGGCGTCCAAAAAGGGGTGCAG